ATCCTGCAAGATCCGGAGCTCCGACTGCCGCCCTTTGTGTATTACCCCGTCTATAGGGCCTCCTGGATGGGGTCCGGGTAGATGGTGTCGGATGATCGCGCCGCATCGCCAATGCATCGCCAATGCATCGGCGATGCAACGCCGACGTCGCCGATGCAGCGGCGACGCCGGCGTGGAGAAGATCGGGCTGCGCATGGAGCCGCATCGCCGACGCATCGGAGACACGACGCGATCCGAGACCTCCACCTTGTCTGTCGCTTTGTGGGCCCTGGAAACGGCAGGGTCGTTTTTTTACCGTTTCCAAAACATGTCCCTTGAAAATGGAAACGGCAAAAAAACGGCGACCGGAAAGGGCAAAAAAACGGCTCCAGGATTGGAACCAGAGCTGGAACCGGTCAAAGACCGGCGACGGAAGCGGTAAAAAACGGCGTCGGAACCGGCAAAAAAACGGCAGAACGGAACCGGTAAAAAAACGGCCCTGTCGTTTCCAGGGCCCACTAAGGTCGAGGGGGAAGTCTTGCGTGGTGGATCCCCGGGTTCTGATGTGCAAGCTGCCAGCGGAGGCCTCACTCCTGGCGCGGAGGCTGTGATTCCCGAGGGAGGCAGCGGTAGCCTCCGTGCTGGTGCCTCTCCTCCCCCGTGCGACGTCGACGTCTCGGACCTTCGTGGTTCCACGTGTCGCCCTCGGTCGACCAGCTCGTCGTCGGGACATGGTCGCAGCGTCCGTCGGCGAGTCACCTTCGACCCTGCGGCCCTCGCCCGCTATCCTGCCCAGGAGCAGCAGGGGCGGGCGGTCCGGAGCATTTTGATGCGGGTACAGGGAGGCGGCCGAGGGGCCGTTCCCGTACGGGGTCCGTAGGTAGAGGCAAAGAGGGTGATTCCTTTTCCAAGGCACTGCGCAGTGTGCAGTGCACAGTGGTCAGAATGCCAATACCTGAGCCAATACAGTTGCGGAAGGTATGTAATAGGGAAGTGAGCGGACTGCGCACACATTTGATCCCTGACAGGGAAGGCCCAGCTCTTCAGCCGTCCAATAAAGGACAGGAAACCACAACCCGAGGCCCACCCTAGGAGCGACCACGGTGCCAGTGGCCCCTCTGCCGTCGAGCGGGATTGTGCCGCCAGACGCGGCTCGAGGTCACAGATGCTGGGTCGCTCCAGGGGACGCAGTGCTGTGCAGGAGGTGTGGATGTCATGTTACACCACGGGGTTGGCAAGGCATCCCTTGGTGGACTGCCAGCTCCCCGAATTCGATCGGATGTCTTCTCGTGCCGTTCGACACCGCAAGTTGTTTTTGGAGGGTCGGCATCCTGCCGACGAAGGGAGGCCCGATGCTCGTACCCTCCGGACGCCGAGGCCCCTGCTGGTCTCGGATCTCGAAGCGATGTGGCCGAATCTCGCCCGCAGGGGCCCAGGTCTAGCCTGGCGAACCACTGTCATACTCTCCTGTCGCCACTGAGCTTGGACTCCCTGCAGGTGATCCTTCGGTGGGGCGGGGCGGGGCGTCTCCTTAGCCCATCATGCGCCCGCGGAGTGCGCGGTGGCCGCCAGGCAGTGCCGTATCCTCGTCCTCCTCGTCCTCCTCGTCGTCCTCCTCCTCAGCCTCCTCCTCCTCCTCCTGCTCCTCCTCCTCCACCTCCTCCTCCTCCATTCCCTTCCCTTATACAAAACTTCTCCCTGTCGCAGCCCGAGGCCAATTTTTTGGGCGGGCCGGGCATTTCGCCCGCGACTTGATCACCATGTATGGCCATGAAGCGTAAAACATGGCAAGAATTCCACGGATTGAGGGCGGTTCTTTTTCAAAATGGGAGTATTGCTTTAGCGCCGCGCACATTCGTTTTCAAAATTTGCAAGAGTTTCACGGATTGAGGGCGAGTGGTTTTCAAGATGTGGTTTCTCGCCATAGCGCCGCGCACATGCTTTATAGCAAGAGTTTCACGTATTGAGGATGGGTTGTTTTCAACATGTGGTTCTCGCCAAAACGCCGCGCACATTCGTTTAAAACAGTGGCAAGAGTTTCACATATTGAGGGCGGTTCTTGTTCAAAATGTAGCTCTTGCTTTAGCGCCGCGCACGTTCGGTTTGAACATTTGCAAGGGTTTCACGGATTGCGGGCAGGTGGTTTTCAAAATTTGTCTCTCGCCTTAGCGCCGCACACGTTCTTTCTTAACTATTGTAAAGAGTTTCACGGATTCCCATGTTGTTTCAGACGGACCATACATGGTGTTTTGGACGGATTCACGAGGGCACAACAGTTACGATGGTTCGCGGTGTTGAAGTCCCAAGAATTGCGTTCTGGCACGATGCAGGATCGTCAAGATGCAACAATCACGCTTATCCGTGATATTGGATTGCCGAGACTAATGTTTTGGCATGCTTCACGGTCTTCAAACGGTTGTCTTCCAGCGGGGCAGGTCCCTCGGTGGAAGTGAACCTTGTTAGGGGCCTGTGAAGAGGAAGCTTGGGGGGGGGTATTCCAACATCGTTAGTGAAACTTAGA